GAATTTCAAAAAGGTGGAATTTAAAATAAGTTGTTTATTTCTTTAACTGGTTTCCGAGGAAGGTCTGTACACTGGTGGGGAAAATGCAAATAAACAGCACAGTACCATTTCCAGGGAATAAGGGTTTAGGGTTTAGTAATTATATATTTATTTATTTATTTATTCATCAAACAATTAGTTAAATAATTAATTCGCCAGTTAATTAACTGGTCAACGGGCAATTAAGACTAGTAAATAACTAATGCACAATTAAAAGTAAATAAATAAGGAAGTAAATGCATGGATAAGTAAATGGATCAATAAATAAATAAATAAATAAATAAATAAATAAATAGTAATTCATAACGCGCGCACCTCAATTTTCGTCGGTCACTAAGTTTAAGAGCGTTTTAAATGGAAACTCCCCCGCCAGCTCCATCCGTGAAAAGCAAACCCTAAACCTTAAACCCCAATTTGGGGTTTAGCAGGGGCTGCTGCATTAGACTCAGCCGTTGTTGCCTCCTGTGCATGTAATAAACAACGAATAAATAAACAAATAGATAGGTACATAGATAAATAAATGAATAAATAAATAATGCAGCTGTGAAGAGCAAGCAAAAAACCGACAGAAGCTCGAAAGTGGAATTATTAAAATTGAATTAATTGAATTTCATTTACTAACAAAAAAAATAGAATATAAATATATCAAACCTTTGTTTTAATTTGTAATTTGACTTAATTGGCGAAAAAAACGAAAATGGAAAATTAATTATGCACAAAAAACGCTCCTTAATTGCTTTTTCCCCCTCTTTTCCTGCTAATTTATTATTTATTTTATTTGTTTACTTTTATATATATTTACATTTATTTGTTTATTTGTTTGTATATATGTTTATTTTATTCTATTTGTTTTATTTTCTCTTTAAATGAAAAATGAAACAGAAGTCTTCTTCCTATCCTGCCGATGGCTGGTGGCTCCCCGTGCGCATTTCAGGAAAAAGCTGAAATGGAAATAAACACAGAATTTCCCAATTTTCTCATTTTTCGGACTTTTTTGCCTATTTTGTGGATTTGTGTTTCATTTCAATGCAAATATTTCTGTAATTTAAACTTAAATGCATTTTAACGAGGCCCTTTGCGTCATTTTGCTCCTAAATTTGCCTTTTCTCTCGGGGTGCAAGCCAAGGCCGCTGCAGCAGGAAACGCCGATTGGCTTGGAATTCGTTTGCAACATTCAATTTAATTCATTTATTTTGTTTTATTTTATTTTATTTAGTTATTTTTCATTCAAAAGTTTGCAATATTCATTTGCTGCTGTTTCTAGAGCTGAGAAAACCGAGTTTGATTTCTTCCTTTCTGTTCAAGTTTTTCTTTTCCGAGTGGAGAATATTCAAGAACTGGCGGCACTTTTGAGGGAAATGATCAAACGGGCGAATCTTTGGCATTTCTCAGTCTTAAATAATGTTCAAAATGTCTTTTTATTTTCTTAAAAAGATAATTTGAGCAAAGAAAAGAAAAAACTGAATTGCGTTACTCGAATTCCTGCTCGTGCCTTCTTGCTGCGGCAAGAGGCGATCGCGGAAAACCCCTTCAGGAGCTGCGCTTTGATTTTCCTCTTTTTTGTTTTGCTGGAAACTTTATTTAAATTTTTTGAATTAATAAAAGGATATTTAATTCAACTCGAAAAGGAGCGAACTTGGCAGAATCGAGCGTAGAAAGCGCTGCGGTACACCATTGGTGCACTGCAGCTTGGTGACCCGCCGGCTCCCCAGCAAAGGACCTACGGCGGCGCCAAAAAATGGAATAAAACAAAAAAAAGTTAATGAATGAAACGTTCTGAAATTGAAGAGAACTTGGCGAAGTTGGGCAGCGAAGGCGGCAGCGGGAGCAGCTGGAGCAGCAGCAGCGGCTGTGCCGCTGCGGTCGATTGTGTTCAGGTTTTGCAGATGCAAACGCGAGACAACTGCGCAGTTCTTCCTTTCTTCCTTTTTCTTCAAAGAAAAACAAAAAGATTCATCTTTATTCCTGAAGGAATTCAGGGTGAGGGCCAATTCAGTTCCGTTCGCCGCGCCCAAGGTTTCGTCTCTGCTCGCCGGCAACAGCCGCGGCAGCCACCCGCGGGAAAAACCTCGAAAACTGGAAAGCCCCGCACCTTTCCAGCGAGGAATCAGCAGCAAATTGAGTTGTTTTAGTATTTCAAAGGTCAAATAATTGGAAAAAGTGGGATTTCTTGGCGCGGAAGTCTGAAGATCGCGGGTGGCGAAGCAGCAACAGCCGTGGCCTGGAGAGCTGCGCGGGCACTGCAAGACTGCGAGAGTTCGCTCGAATTTCGCCGGCATTGGGTCTTTTTCTCCGTTTAAATTCAAGGTGAAGTTGAATTTTCAAAATGTATTCGAAAATACTGCTGGTGGGGGCGCTGGCGCTGGGGGAAACGGCCGCGCCATCTGCGCAGCGGGCCACGGCGCCGAGCACGCAGCAGCAGCCGCTGGCTGCGCCCGTTTCGGACTTTTTGGCGTTTCCCGACGAAGAAAAAGATTTAAATTTGCAATCGAAAGGTGAATTTGAGAAAATAGTGGCTTTGAAGGGGCCTGGGGAGGCCGCGAAGTTCACTGACATCACCGAAGAGGAGTTCAACAAAATCGACAAGGCCATGAAGCCCTGCTTCCAGTCCTTGAACAGAGAGGCCTGCGGGGCCCGGGCCTCAGCAGCAGAGTACCCTGGGGGCCTCCACTGCCCCCCGGATAGCTGCTGCAGCAAAACTGTGATTGAACAGGGAAAAATAGGAAACTGGTGTTCCCAGAGTTGGGTTTTTTGCTCAACTGCCATCATCTACGACCCCGCCTACTCCTACGGCACCTGCAAGTGCGAGTCGTACAGAAACCGCTGCCCCATAGGCAGCAGCTGCCTCGACTCCAGCTTCGGGGCTTTTTGCAAATGCAATGAAGACTTAGAAGAGCGAAACGGGGGCTGCCACTTCACCACAACGACCACAACCACCACCACCACCACCACCACCACAACCACCACCACCACAACAACCACCACCACCACGCCCCCCGCGCGATCTCTCTGCAAAGTCGACGACTGCAGGCCGGGCTTCTGCGATGTTATTGATAATAAAGTAGTTTGCACTTGCGTGGGAGGTTATGTTTCCAAAAAGCTCTCCGAAGAGAAGGAGCAGTGCGTCTTCAACTACTAGTGCGCTGGGGTGTATAGGCAGCTCCGGCCGCACGCGCCTCCCCCCAGCCCTTCTGCTCGGCACTTCATTTCCTCCGCAGCAAGTCCACTTCTTTCTCTTTAGTAGGTTTTTCCTTTCCACTTTGCATTCTCCCCAACAGATCTTTTCCCTTTCCTCCTTCTTCTCCCGCTTCCCTTCGGTTTCCTCCCCGCATCCGCGGCCGCAGCGTGCCCACCCGCTGCGTGGACTGCCCACCCGCAGTTCAACTCTGTTCAACTTGACTTGCAAGTTTTCCTCAACAGTAACTCAATAACTCATTTAATATCTAAATTAATAACCTAAAAACAAAAACATTCTTACTTCGTCTCAGCTCAGACTCCCTAAGCACATTGTTATAACTCTTTTGCACAAACGCTCCTCCACTTCAGGCTGGAACATTCACGTCCTTCAACTTATCGCCTCCCCAGCTTCGCCACTTCTAAACAAAATAAATATCGTTTAAACTCGGTAGTACTTGCGAATTCACCATTATTAATTTCATGGTTAACCTCATTATTAATTTCACCCAAACATCTCTGCACAAACAATTGCAAAAGCAGCTTTGCCGCTAAGCGGCTTTGCGGCTCCAAGCCGTTCGGCGCAGGTACACCTGAACTGGAAGGCAGGCAGATGCCGCTCACTGCTGCTGCAGCAGCAGTGAATTGCTGCTGCTGCAGCAATTCAACATGCCACCAGTAGCAGCCGCTGCAGCAACTGCGACCGCAAAAGAGCAGCAGCAGCGTTTGCAGCAGCAGCAGCAACTGCAACAGCAGCAGATCCCTCACCATAAAACTCCCCTCCCTGCAATACTATTTACAGCTTCCTGCCTTCACTATCCCCCTGGACAAAACACCTCAGCTACTGCTGCTGCAGCAGCACTTTGCCGCTGCAGTCAGAGCTCTCTCTACAGAAACTGCTGCTGCTTCGACAGCTGTTTGCACTTTTGCTGCACTTCTATTTTCCATGTCCTGGTGTACGTACACTGCAAGAGTTGGCCGGTAGCAGCGGCTCTCTCTGCTGCACCTGCTGGCAGCTGCGCGGCGCTGCTGCGGCAGCAGCAGCAGCGCAGCAAAAGAGCAGCTGGAAGCTGCAGCAACAGATGTCGAAGCAGCATCAACTGTACCTGCAGCAGCACGCGTTGCTCTTGCACCCTGTGAGTGATCCAAGTTGCGGCTGCTTCAGCATGAGGTGCTGCTGCATGCTGCGTCGTCGCTGTAGCAAACTGTGTCGTTGCTGCAGCACGCTGTGCTGTTGCTGCAGCACACTGTTCTGTTGCTGCAGCACACTGTGCTGCTGCTGCAGCACACTTCGCTGTTGCTGCAGCACGCTGTGCTGCTGCTGCAGCAGCGCTGCCGCAGACTCTACAGTGCTTGTTTCTAGCTGCTCCCGGCGCCAGCACAAGAGCAGTGAACGGCTGTCCAGCCCCTCGAGCAGCAGCAGCAAATGCTGCTGCTGCTGCTGCTGCTGCTGCTGCTGCTGCGGGTGGTGTGCACTTGCAACACTGGGAGAAACAGCAAGTGGAGATCTGCACGCGGGGGGGGCAGGAGGCACAAATGAAGAGGCGGAGGGAAGTAAATGAAAATAAACGGAGGAAAGAAAAGAAAGAAAGAGTAAAAGTGAGAAAGAAATAATAAATATAAAACGAAGAAGCAGCAGGAAGTGGAGTTTGCAAAATGCGGCGCAGCAGCCGCAGCAGCAGCAGCGCCCGCGAGCAGCAGCAGCCGATGTGGAAATGACGCATGCAAGTCGCATTAACACTTTTTCAATAAATTCATAATTATAAATTTGATAATTATAAATTCAATTAAGACTTGAAGAAAACCACCATCGCCGTTATGTTGTCCGCGCAGTGTCCGCTCTGCTGCTGGTCCGCCAGCGCGTGCTGCACCAGCGACTCTGCCGGGTTTTCGCCTAAGTCCGCAACAAATAAACAATTCAATGAAGTAAATTGCAATTTAATTTATTAATTTGCAAAAATAAACAAATTAAATGGAAAAAAACAAACAGACCACTCCACAGACCACTGGAAAGCTCCAGATCTGAACAACCGCGAGCCACAGCAGCAGCAGCGCAGCAGCCCCCCCACATCGAAGTGGAAGCTCGTGAAGCGAAACAAACAAAACAAAAGAAGCAAAATCCCCACCGCTGCAGCCTCTGTGCTGCAGCGGCAGCAGCCAGTGCTGCAGCAAAAGCCAACTTCCAAGACACATCTTGCACCCTCAGCCCATTTACCAACGGCAGCAAACCCCACACCACGCTGCATGCATTCCCCCGCCAAGACGCAGCAACACCACCACTCGCCCGCCGCACCCCACGCAGCAGCAGCAGCAGCAGCAGCAGCAGCAGCAGCAGCGGGTCACCGCCGCAGCAGCAGCAGCTGCTGCACACCCCCGCACCTCCCCACACACCCCCTCACCCCTCCCCACCCCCACCCCCAGCATCCCAATCCGCATCCCCAGCAGCAGCAGCAGCAGCAGCAGCAGCAGCAGACCCTGCTGCTGGGCGTCCCAGGCGATTTGAACGGCCTGCGTGGCGGAGAGAACATCCCAAAGGCCGTCGGTGGCCAACACCATCAACTTGTGGCTGCTGCTGAGCCGCAGCACCCGCACGTCCGGCTCTGCACTCAGCCCGTAGGTCTTCAGGTCTTTGCCCTGCAGCACACACCCCTGCTGCTGCTGCTGCTGCTGCTGCTGCTGCGGGGGGAGGGGGGGAGCTGGGCTGCTGCTGCTGCGTGGGCAGCCAGCAGCAGCAGCAGGACTGGGGACGGGCAGAAGCAGTCACCGAGGGAGAACAACCGCTACGCTCTTAAGCAGCAACAGCAGGAGCTGCAGCAGCAGCAGCAGCAGCAGCTCGGGGTGTACGTACACCGAAGGCCCTGGAGTACTGGAGCTGCATGGGCTGTTCGCCTTTGGACTTCCGAAGGCCAAAATCGCCTCCCCTAATGAAGGGCTTGTTGTTGTGGTTGTGCAAATACTCCACGCTGCCCCCGCTGCTCTGCAGCAGCAGCAGCAGCAACAGCAGCAGCAGCAGAGGCAAAGGCGGGCGTGCACTGTACGAGAGAGACGAAATTAAGGGAAATTCAGCAAACTGGAAGGAAATAAAATCAAATATATGAAATTAAATCAAATAAGCGAAGCAAAATGACATAATAAGATGAAATAAAATATATAAAATGAAATAAACAAGTAAAATGAAATAAATAAATAAAATAAATAAAATTAAATAAAGAATGGAGGCATGTTGGATATGTAGAGTGAAACCAAATAAAGCAAAAAGGCCAAAATAAAACGAAATAAAGCCAAATGAAAGCCAAAAAGCCAAAATAAATGAAATAAAACGAAACAATCAGACGAATAAATGAATAGAACATGATAAATGATATAAATAAAATGAAATAAACCCAAATGAACAAAAATTGGAGAAAAATGAGCAAAAAACGAAAGAAATGCCATAGCTCCTTCCTGCTCCCGGCATGCGGAGCTTGTAGAACAAAGAGGAAATGTAAAGTGAAATGGAGCAAAATGAAGACAAATAAAATCCAATAAACGCCAAATAAAAGCGAGACAAAATAAATAGACAAAATAAATGAATTAAATGAATAAAAATGAACAAAAATGAGAAAAAATGAATAAAAATGAACAAAAAAACGAAGAAATGCCACAACTCTTTCTTGCTCCAAGGGCATGTTGGGCTTGTAAAAAAAAGCAAAGGAGGCAAAAAGGCCAAAATAAAACGAGATAAAACCAAACAAAAGCGAAACAAAATAAAACAAAGAAAATAAATGAAAAAAGAGTCAAAGTGGACAAAAAGCGAGAAAAAATAAACAAAAATGAACGAAAAACGAAGAAATACCATAATTCTTTCTTGCTCCAGAGGCATGTTGGGCTTGTGGTCCACAGTGGCAAACTCGCCCTCCAAACCGCCGCCCTCGAGCTCGAGGCCGAGGGCTATGCGGCTGTCGCCCTGCGCGCAAACCCTAAACCCTAAACCCTAAACCCTAAACCCCAAACCCTAGAGCCTAAACCCTAGGAGCTGCAGCAGCAGCAGCAGGACCTCTGCCGCGGGCGGGCCAAACGCGGGGCTTTGATCGCTGCTGCGGGCCCCGCTGCGCCCAAACCCTAAACCCTAAACCCTAAACCCTAAACCCTCACGAGGTGCCCAATGGCCACGAAACCCCCCGCCATCACCGCCGTCACTGAAGTGCTGCTGGCGTAATCATTTTGCTGCAGCCTGCAGAGCTCTATGAGTTCTGCGTCAGCAGCTAAATACATGCACCTGACTGCTGCTGCTAGCGCCTCGGGCAGCGCAGCAGCAGCAGCAGCAGACACTGCAGCAGCAGCAGCAGACTCCCCAGGCTCCTGCAGCAAAGACACCACCCGCTGCCAGCCGCTGCTCGACAGCAAATGCGGCACCACCAAATCCTTCACAGAGTCCGACGCAAAGTCCCCTGCAAACAAACCCTAAACCCTAAACCCTAAACCCTAAACCCTAGAGCAGCAGCAGTAGCTGCACAAGTGAACTGCTGCCAGCGGCAGCAGCTGCAACGCCTGCAGCCAACTGCTGCAGGAGCAGCGTAACGAACAGCAGCAAATGCTGCAGCAGAACAACGAGCAGCAGCAAATGCTGCAGCAGCAGCACAACAGATAGCAGCACTGCAGCAGCGCAACAACGAGCAGCAACTGCTGCAGCAGCAGCGCAACGAACTGCAGCAACTGCTGCAGCAGCAGCGCAACGAACAGCAGCAACCGCTGCTGCAGCAGCGCAACTAGCGGCAGCAACTGCTGCAACAGTAATTCAACGAGCAGCAGCAACTGCTGCAACAGCAGCGTAACGAACAGCAGCAACTGCTGCAGCGGCACCGCAACGAATAGCAGCAACTGCTGCAGCAGCAGCTCAACAACGAGCAGCAACTGTTGCAGCAACAGCGCAGCGACAAGCAGCAACTGCTGCAGCAGCAGCCCAACGGAGAGCAGCAAATGCTGCAGCAGCGGCGCGACAAAGAGCAGCAAATGCTGCAGCAGCAGCGCAACAAGGAGCAGCAGATGCTGCAGCAGCAGCAGCTGACCAACAGTGCCGTCGAAAACCCCAAAGAAAGCAGCATCATTGCGGCCGGGAATCAGCGCAGGGCAAACAGTAAAGCGATCTTCTTGGTGCTTCCGCCCCCCTGCAGCAGCAGCAGCAGCAAGTGTGCAGCAGCAGCAGCAGAGTGTGCAGCAGCAGCAGCAAAGGCGCTCCCGGCACGGCTGCAGCAGCGGGGAAAGCAGCAGTAGCTAGCGTCGAAGCAGCAACCGCAGCAGCAACGAACGCCAGAGGCAAGGCCACGTTTCAGAGCAGCAGCAGCAGCAGCAGCAGCAG